AATAGTACAAAGACATATCAAATGTGAAAACTGAGAAATGTTATAGCTTTTTGAAAAATATTGTTTCCGTTCTGTATTGGTATCTCCTGGTTTTCTTGTGTTTTTAGAGTGTTCCATTTTTCCCAGAACTGGTTTTGATTACTAGTACTTTTAATTTCTCGTAGTATGTGGTTGTAATGTTGCTTTCTTTCATATAAATAGTTTTCTTATATTGCTTGAGTGTTTCATGGTATTTTTGCCTTAGTTCGGCTTTTGTGGTTCTTTGTGTTTTTGATTAAACAGCCTTCTAAGCTGTTTTCTTATGATTTCACGCTCCTTGTCATTTTTCTTTCTGGGGTCTTTTCTTTTTTCTTTGTTTTAGTGAGGTTTGCTTTGATTGCAGATTTGTTATTAATTTCATTAATTTGTTTTACTGCCAGATTTACATCTTGCTTATTAGGCTGGAACTCTGTTGTTAGGAAGCTGTTATTAAGGTTAGTGATCTCTGTAGAGCTAATTGCATTGGTGAGTTTAGACACACTGTTGAGTCCACTTGTATCGTGGGGTTGATTTTAGTTAGTTTACAGGACTGTTCTGATTTATTTGACTGTTGAATTCTTTTTAGGAACACATTAATTTGGCAGTGGTCTGATAGTGGTGACTGAGGTCTGATATTGAATGCACTGATGGAGGAGGGGTCCATGCCAGTGATGGCGTAGTCAATTACACTAGACCCAAGAGCTGAGCAGTAAGTGAACCGGCCTAAAGAGTCTCCTCGGGTCCGACTGTTAAGCATGTACAGGCCCAGGCCTCGACAGAGCTGCACTAACTCCTTACTATTCTTATTTACAACAGAGTAAGGGTTACTGCGTGTTGTTTACGTGGGGGTCAGGTTTGGCAAGGCCTTAAATATGTGTTTTTTCCCTGTGTGTCTATAATGTCAGATTCAGAACCTGTTCTGGCATTAAAAGCCTGGAAATGGCTGCTTTCTGTGTGGAGATTGTTGAAGAACTCACTATTGTTGTAGGGGGATTCTGCAGGAGGAGTGTAAGCTGCACATGTATAGAGGTGTCAAATTAATAATGCCCTTTTTGAGTTTTAGCCAAATATGGGTGAGGTTCCTTTTTGAAAACTGATAAATGGGATATCAGGCTCTCCTTATGCCAGATGATATTCCAGGAACTTATTGAGAAAGGTTGCATTGTTTATGATTTGTTGATTATAGGTATTATATGTTGATTTTTTAGATCATTAGCCAGAATTCGAACACCCTCACAATAAAGGTGTACATGATCATTCAGGTGTTCATCAGTCAGAGTTAGATGAGTGGCAACGTGAACGTTTGAGATGATGGCACAGAATCTGATGATGTCCTGATTGATTCTGCTGATGAAGTCAGCAGAGAAGTCTTTTCTAAGAAGTAGAGTAAAGATGGTTATGGCTGCTTCTGGAATTTTTTTGTGAGCCTTCTCTGCTACCCTTTGAAGAGACTCTACCACTGTTACTTATTTTAAGCACAGGTCATTTGTACCAGTCTGAAATGTTTCAAGGGCCATGTAATGTGGACTGGCATAGTAGCTTCAATGCACTGTCTGCAGTTGGACACCAGAACTTTGCCACTCTATGAGTAAGGAGCATCGTTCAGCGTTGGAGGAATTTACCATTAGTGTTAATGAGGACTGCAGTTTTGGAGGCTGTGGAGGTGGGTCTCTTGATACTGTTTGCTGTGAGGGCTGAAGGCTGGAAGGCTGAGGGGTTTTTGGCTAGCTGGCTGTGTAGCTTGTGGGCTAACAGGCTGTAGGGCTGATAGGCTAGCTGGCTGTTAGACTGGTGGGCTGCTGCTGGCCTGGGCTGGTTGGTTAGCTAGCAGTGGAGCTGTTGGGCTGCTGCTGGCCTGGGCTGGTTGGTTAGCTTGCTTCGGACCTGGTTGGCTAACTAGTTGTGGCTGCAGATCATCTGTATAGACGAGCAGGTCTACTTTTATTTCTTTGTCATTCAGAACCATGATGTGGACGTTCCAGCGTTTCTGGGAAATCTTTCAATTATTGGCTTTGCTCTGTAATAATAATATACACCAGCCTTGCTTAAATGTGAACACATCTATCCAAACTGTAAAAATAAATTTTTTTATCATGGTCAGTTCTGCCTCTGCATCTCCCGTCTGGTTCAACTCTGCTATAGGTGCAGATGTTGTGTCTTCGTACCAAAGTACGATGAAACGTCACAGTATGCAAATCAGTAAACCAACGTAACCGCCCCTGATGACACCCTACTTTTGTCGCGTTCATAAATATGAAAGCATAGGAGTCTAGAGTGAGGAAATAACCACACTCATGCGCTGAGCTGAATACCCCCAGCACCTCCTCACAAAGTTTGCGATATGGCAGATGTTTTAACAGCTGTAAATAACTCAGTTAATCTGTTCTTAGTTTGTAATAAAGATGTTATGATTAGCACATTTATTTATAATGTTCAACATATGATTAGGTAGCCTGAAGGAGTCTTCATCTAGCTGCTGGTGTTGCAGCCGATTCATGTTTCCCTTCACAAATCGAACCCTCAGGTGCGTGCACTCCCTGAACAGAAATCACCGGCAAGCAGCAGTGAAACTACGGAAAGTGAAAAGGTTCAGGAAAGGTTAACGTTAAATTGCCATTGTTACTGACTGTGTCAACCTCTCATCCATACAGTCTTTCTTGAACTTTCTTTTTCGCTTTCAGTAGTTCCGGTGTTGCTTGCTGTTGATTTCTGTTCAGTGAGTGCATGTGCCTGAGGGTTCGATTTATGAAGGGGATCGTGAATTTTAGGGGGAACTCTTCAGCAGTTTGAGTCAGCGGCTCATACTGGTAAGGCTCAAGTCACACTGCCTGATCAGAAGCACCTTCCCTCGTCAAAGATGGGGATGGTAGTGGAGAAAAACATCAGCCTCATAAGACCTCTCAGTTGCAAAAGTGCTTTTTGATTCTGTCACTCTCCATATTTTCTGGTAGCTCACTTTGATTATAAAAACACAGCAGTCCAGCCCGCCCAGTTTCCCTCGCAGCCCCACCCCCAAACCCAAACATCACTGCAGTGCCCTTACCAGCGTGCCCATCCCATTTTTGAGCATTTTTCAAAATTGAGCCAGGGGTGGAGCTGAAAATAGTGGGGTGTAGTTACTCTTTAAATGCCTTTCTTCTCTTTATACTTAATTTCTAACCAACAAAATACTGAATTTAATCAGAGCACATATTTTCTGCTGTTGATCAGAAACACTCTGTCTCTCTCTTTCTCTGTCCAGTCCATTTCTACAACATAGGATGAGCATTAATTGGCACGCATATACACATGAAGACGATTGTGTGTGTGTGTGTGTGTGTGTGTGTGTGTGTGTGTGTGTCAGAAGTTTTTGCCACTTCCCTGAGCAGTGCTCACTTCTACTGCCTCCTGCAGGGCAAACCAGTCTATTTATAGATCAAGGATTGAGTATGTGCGAGTGTGAAATGGAAAGACAGGGAGACAAGGAGAGAGAGAAGACTAAGAATGCTGTAGTTACGAAGCAAGTGTTGCACCATCCCCATTTTGCGTAAAAAGATATTAAGCTTGTGTGAAAGACAGTGCTTTATTAAATATCACACTACAGGTCACTCTCATACATCATTTTCTTGAAGACTTTAAAATACAGAAGTGATGCAGCTGGTTGGAGCATACTGGGACATTTTTAGTTTTGTAGCCAACCTCAGTGGTGCTGAAAATTCAGTTGGTTTAGTGATGAGTGACTAAGTTCTGATGTTTATTTTGGTCAAAATCTTCTTTGTTTTGGTTTGTGTATCAAACTTGTAGACAGCAGTGAATGTAGGGGTAAAGGGTATTATATGACATGACGAGTTGTAATTGTGATCTCTAGCTACCTTTCTGGGAGCTATGGTGACTAGGGGCAAACAGATATATATCATTTGACTCAGAATTGGCTCACCTTAAGGTTTGACAGATTGTGCAGCATCAGCAGAAATCCTGGTTTCACAGATTGATCAGCATCAGCAGAAATCCTGCTGATAAAACCCTTGTGTCTTTAAATGTTAAATGTGAAAAAAAACACATTCAGGAAGACTTTCAGTTCTTTATATTTATTTCTGTTAAAATTTGACAGTTAACTAGGGATGTGTACGGATACTCAAGTACTTGGGTAACTGTTCAAGGTGCAAGTATTCAAAAGCTGAAATTGCTGTTCAGGTACTCGTTTCTGTTTCAGCACAGGAAGACAGAAAATAGAGAGACTAACAGTTCAGTGAAACACCATTTTTATGTTTTAACAAGACAGTAAAATGTTACGGTTTTGCTCATATTTGAGTAAATATGTATATAACACTGTACCAGTCAAGTGCCTTAACATGAGCACATTGCCAAGGAAGTGTTGTTAAGGACGTGATTTAAAAAGCAGATGTAACACAGCTTTACTGCTAATTAGGCTAACTACTCTAGATAATGTTAGCTAGTTCCAAAAAATTTGTTTCTCTGACAAACTATTTTGTCTGTCTTCTGCTAAGGAGACAAGTCCTCATCAGCATCCAGTGATGTACCAGGTTTTCACAAAAGAGTTAGCATGGTTGAGGTATTAGCACGGGTAGTTGATACTTGATCAGTGTCGATTACACCATCATGGTTCAGTCTACCACTCTTTGCCACTTATTGTTGCACTTCGACCGGGAAGCCAAGTATTCCCTAACAAGAGATCAACCATCTAAGGCAGACAAAGCTGAAGTTAACTTCTTATTCACAAATATTTTATTCACATTGTCCTCAGGCACCAGAATGTAACTACTGTACCATTTAAAATGGAAAAAAAATAATAATAAGAGGCTGACGAGAATAAGAATATAACTTCAGCTTCGCCCTTCACCCTAGGTAGGCTAACCAAACCAGTTTTTCCAGTTCTAAGAGCTGATGCAGCACAGGGTTTTTACGCGGATGGTAATTCCAACACAATACTGTAATATAACATGCACTGTCTCTCTTTCTTTTTTGTCTGTCCTTTCATGCAGTGAGCGATAGCTGCTTCAGAAATCTTGCTGAAGACCGCAGCGGAATCAACCTTAAAGATCTTGTTCATGATCCATCTTTGTGAGTACCACAATCTCACTATGCGCAAACACACACATCTTCAATTTTTTTTCCTGACAGTCTTTCTTTCTCACTCTTGAGACTTTGTGTTGTCTATCAGGGTGAAAAATCTTTGATTACTTCACCTTGAGATGAACAAGGTCAAATTTATGTTCTGCAACTGTCAGCTTGAGTGAGTGTTGGGTAACTTGTAGCCTGGGCAGTATGATGATATTTATCATTGTCGTGATAAATCATATCACAACATGCTTTTCTGTGTATGTTGTGGATGCTTTCTATGCATAAATAACTGACTAGCTGCATGTTTCATTACAAAGATGCATAATTAGACCTGTTTAACTGAATTTAGTGCAGCACAAAACATGAAATTTATAAATTGTTTGCTCTTGTACAGGTTTTTCATAGAATTTTCTTTCTAACGTGGCACTTTTCATACTTTTTTCAGAAAAACAAAATATTGTTATAAATACAGTTGTATGCAGAAGTTTGAACACTCCTGGTTACATGTTTTGTTGAAGTTATTGCGTCCTCTACAGGGAACAAACTTATGGCATTTTTCTGCACATGGTAGTGCACTGGTCTCAGTGTTACCTTGACAAGCCAACATGTTAACAAATCATCCACTGAAGAGGAAGTAAAACACCTTGCTCAGAAGACAACGATCGCCTCTCATCTTACATAACCTCTGCTACATCATTGTACTACTGAATTTTGTTTTTTAAGTAAAAGGAAGTATACAGCCCTGCTGTATATTCAGACAGCCAGCTGACATATTAATGTTACATCAGCAAAACCAAACCAATCAGAATGCAAACACTATCTTAAAAAATGAGTGTGTTCCTTTTCCTGTTTCCATGTCAGCTAGCTATATTCTTTCTATAGGGAACGTCATTTTATTCAGCCTAGGTAAACACAGCTATTTTTGGAAGTAGATTACATTTCCACTTTTTATGAGAAATTAGTTGTTTGTACATGTGTGCAAATTTAAGCTTAATTATTCAATGTCAGTTATTTTCACTACACCAGTATAGAAAATATTTCACACAGCCCTATAGGACTGTCAGATATTTACACGTGATATTATTGTCCTCAGAAACCTGGTCTTTAAGGTACCCATAGTCATAAATTAAAACACAAAAAATAATCTATAGTAAATAATAAATTGTGAAGTATTTTGTGTTATAGTTATGCCCAAGAAACTACAAAAAATGGCATAGGAGCGTCTCAAAACTCATTATGAATGCAGAGATCTATGCACATGCATGATTATCCAAACTGTAAATAGCCCTTTGCTGTCCCGTTTCCAACCCCCACCCAATCCCCCCTAACAGCTCTATAACAAAAAAGTTTACTCATTCAGATTTGAGTTTTTATTTTCTAAATTTGCATCACTGAGGCTTCAGTGAGCTAGAATGAACCTGTGTGGTTTTGTGTAAAACTGTTTAGACCTTGTCGCTAAGCTAATGCTATCTTCTAGTGCTAACACAAAACACAGGTTTACCCGCTCAGCTTTTAATCTTTTTTCTCTAAATTTGTGTCAGTGAGGCTTCAGTGAGGCTTCAGTGAACTAGAACGAATCTTTGTATTTGTGTGTAAAGCTAACGGCTAGCGGCACGGCTGCCAGACCAGACCTTATGTTTGATCCAAATGGTATTGCTGTGGGACGTGAAGGCTGAGACAATTGGAGTTTTTAAAGAAATTAATTGAATTTTCAACAATACAAGGTAATAAAATGTAGCATAAACATAACATCCATAATGGCAACAGTCATTCCAATGCATCACATATTAGAAGCATTCACATTTTTGAGAATGTTGAGAAAGAATGTCACATTATATCGGTATTTTATCTCATAATTTTATAATGAAAGGTATACTTTTGTTTTAACATTGTTTGACAACTTGTTCTGAAAAACAAAAACAAAACCTTTCCTGTTGACATTTTTGTTCTAATTGCCCACATTCGGTATATTATTGTGCAAACACATACCAGAATAGATTTATTTCATTACAAAATTTATTCAAATTAATATTCAAAATAATATTTCTTCTAGTACCCTCTGTTTAAACTGTATCTTTGTAACTGTACCCATATTTCTTTTGTTCAAGCAGTTCAGGCAGCAAAGAGACAACAATCGAGTGACCAATAGTTTCTTTCTCAAAACATTCTGGAATTGAACACTCGGTAGTTTTTAGAAAACAGTTGCATTTCACAATGTTTCTTACTGGGAGTCTTCCAGATTCATAAAGTCATGTGACTGCATTGTTCAATTAATATTTAAAAGCAAATAGCAAAAGAAAATTCAGCAAATAGAAGCTTATAATAAGGAACATATTTTCGTTTTTTTTTTCTTTTTATTTCTGCCTCTCTTTATCACCAATCCATCCTGCTTTTCTATCTATACAAGCACTGAGCAAATTCAAGCAACTACAAAAACTTATTTTCAATTTGCTTCTAATTTCAACAGCACCTAGAGCACCATTTTCCTTACTTCTTTATAAATAATCATTTATAAAGAAGAATTATTCTCCCAATTCTTTTTAACTGAACCTTTACCACATCTCTTGTCGGTGCTTAGGGCTCAGGTGCAGGCCTCATGCCGCCTCTCAAAGCTCTAGTGGCTCTTGTCAGTGCTGGCACATCATCTCGTTAGCATATTTTATTATATTGGACCGTGATCCCTTTTTTCGGATGAACTGAGAAAGCCTGTGTTTTCAATGGAAGAAGGTGAACTCTGCACTATGGTAATACATTTAATACAAACATCAGTCTATATAATTATAACAAGCCATCCAACCATTAAAACCACATTTTTGAATGCAAGGGGTTTTTAATGTGTCATACTGAAGCACACTGGTGCACATTTTGAAAAGCTAGGTGTTCCCAAACATTTGATGGGTAGTGGACCTATATTTTAACAGGTCCAGATTTCATTGTAGATATTACACTGGCTAACATTTGAGACAGTCTGTTCTCTACAATAGGCTAGGAGTCCTGCTGTGTCACTCTGATGACAGTTGAGTAGTCAATGGCCCATTTTATTTATTGGCACAGTGTGTCCAAACTGTGGTTTGGCTGCCCGATGCAAGGACCAGCCTAGAAATAAATGTCACTTATGTCCAAGTGGCGGGGCTGCACACCATCAAAACTGGAGCCAGTGGCTGTTGCACCTAATGGAAGTGAGGCATCAGACACAGAGAGATGAGAGCAAAGGGAGCGGCCAGAAGTTAATGACTGTTCACACAATACTGATAAATAAAGATGTGTGTGTGTCCTTTTCCACCTATACACACACATGCACACTCAGAGACGTTACCTTGCCAGGTGATTGGCAGTTGCAGCAGTCCCTTCCCTTAGGTCACTTTAGGTTTCATGATTGGTGCAAATGGTCAGTTTTACTAATTGGGAGTTAAAAATAGGGTGGAATTAATCAGACCACCACTGCTTATCCTCTGGACCAGGTAGTCCATCTTCACTTAGAGGTGGGTAGAGATAGATGAGTTCATGTTAATGAAAGCGAGACAAAAGCAGAAACTAACCAATTGATTGACATGCCTGTCAGCTAGTCGCCATTGTCTCCAAGCATCAAGTGAATGAAAAATTAATTGACCGTACCCCTCAAAACAAACCTAGAGTAAGAACAGCAGTGGCAGTAAATTAGTAAGTATTAGATTAAGAAATGCTGGAAAGATGTTACTGAGGAACATATAATGCCTGGCGCACAGTATCATGATGATGGAGGGTGAAGCTGTTTTTCATTGCTGAAGCTAGAAACGTTTGGATTAAGCTGTAACAGACCCTAAACCACAGCTCAGTGAAAAACTATTGACCGACAGATATACACTGGCTATAAGTATGTTAATCTTTATCTGGATTACCATATCTGGTAAAAATATTTTTTTTATATGATGTCTATCAACAAATAACATTACAGATAAAAAATTTAATCACTGGTTACGTAAACAAAAATAAAATATAGACTGTAAAAATAAATAGTAATGCATTCCTACACATGCCGTTCTTTGTATTGTCCCATTAAAGTTTGCTAAAAGACCTTGTGTAAAAGACAAGTAGAGCTCTGCGTGGGGCCATTTGTCCTGTAGCCTAAGTGTCTTGTCCCTCACCCACCCACGGTCCCGTACAGCTGGTTTCCATTGCCATTATTCACAGTTGAATGAGCACTGTGTCTGACTGTGTAAATGCTCCACCATTTCCACAAGAGTCTACAAGAAAGCAATTAATTTGTTGTTTCCTGGTTGCTTCATACATATTTAAAATGAGTTTATTATTTTGTTATTTTGCTGTAAGATATCATTTATATATGCCAATTATTGATTGATTGTTGTCATTGTACTTAGGCTATTCATTAATTTGCAAGATTTTCACCAGAAGTATATGTTGTCCCACGTCTGCTTGCTCTGGGCTTTCTAACCACCCGCTCCCATGCATGATGATGAAAATTAGCTCTGAGACGCAAGATATTGTGGTGGGTCCCACATGTTTCTGTGCAACATCATCATAGAGATGTGCATGCAACTGGGGGGCAGTAAGCAACAGAAAGCGGCACTCTTCACGGCATAAAGCTTTAATGACTGAATGAGTAAACTGCACCAACTGCAGAGAAGATTGTTGGAGAATGTTTCATATCCGGAGGGGATCCTGATGGTCCCAAAGGCAATGCAAGTTTGTGCAGCACCCAATTCATATCCAAATGTTGTGTTTTTTTGGTGGGGTGACTGGCTATAAACACATCTGAGCTTTAGTTTTAATACTGGTAGCAATTTGTGATGCAGTGATTTAGATGAAGCTGAAGTCAGCTTTCTATTTGCCAGCTTCACTCAGTCACTCGACTTCTCATCAGGATGGTGGTGTACAGTATTGAGCAGTGTGTCAAGGTATGTAGCGTGTTTTTTTGGTTCGGTCTGCTTCATCCTAACGGGAGTTACAACAGAATATTCAGGGCCTCTTTCGAGTGAATCTCCCTGTATATTCCATTGCAT